TCATTAAACGATGTGGCAGGCCAGTCATCACCACACGTGGACACGCTCTGGAGCTTTGGATTCGCTTACCAGTCAATTGATCCAATGGCTCCCATTTAATTCAGCATTTTAATTTCTTTTATTTAATTTTCTTTTATTTTTAATCCATTTGATTTCTAAAATTCATAATAAATCCAATATTGATCCAAAAAATGTTTTAAAAATACCTCCATGATCTTGGATTTATTTATTATTTTATGAAATTAATAAATCTCATTTTCACCCATTTTTCAATTTAATTTGGTTTTCTCCATTTTATTATTTTCTTTAATTTTGTACATTTGCTACATGATTTTGTGGATTTTATTGTGACTAATTGGTGAATGATTTTAAGTTGGTTCTTGTTGGACTGATTAGATTAGGGAAGCATGTACCCTTAGAAATTTTATCACAATTTTGTGAATAAAATTTAGGTAAGTTTGAGAGGTGAATAGGAGAGGTGTTAGAATTAGGGTTTCAAGACAAATAGTTGTAGTTTAATGCGTAGTTTAAGGATTAAATGATTGATATAGGGTTTGGGGTTCCTATGGGGTATTGGGTTTAGGTTTAGGTTCCCTTAGAAATTTACTTAGGATTTTATGATGAGCTTTAGCATTTTATTTGATTTTTGCAACTTGTGTGGTGATTGTGGGTTTCTCCATTGGATATCTGGTTTGGTTATGTTTGTGTGGGGCCCTTTTGGGGTGATTTTGGCTTGGGTTTTGCTTGTATGACTTGAAGCTCAAATGAAGTTGCTTTGGATGGCTTGAAGAAGCTTGGAGTTGAAGATTTCTCATTTGTTGGAGTGCTTGTCAGAGGCTAAGGGATTAGGATACATAGGAAGAGCATTAGAGTAGTCTTGTTTCTTCTTTCAAACATAGAGAGCTTCTTGTGCCTCTATTCCATCCCATGACACAAGGTCCCCCAAAGAATTTACATCTCTCCTTAGGAGGGATGTAGAGCATGCTTTGGTTGGGTAGAACCTTGAGGATACCTATCACTTGCCATGTTAAGATCTTAGTGATTTCCTTGGGTTGTCACTGAGCCTCTTAACATTTCACCTTCATCTATTAATTGATTCTCTTCTGAAGTGATTGCATTGAAGATGAAGTTCATTGAAGATTGGTGAAGATGAAGCTTGTGCCTGTCAAAGTTGGTTGTCTGTTGAAGCTAGGGTTTTGCTGCTTTTTGTTGAAGCTGTTTACTGGTTGAGGTTCATGCTTGCTAAAGCTGGGATATTTTTCTGAAGATAGGAGTTTACCTAAAATTTGAAGGTCATTGAAGATTGAAGATGGGGTCTTGCTTGAAGTTGTTGTTGTCACTCCCATTTGCTGTTAATCAATTGTAGCTGTCAGAGCTGTTGCTGCTTGTGTTGCTTACTGTAGGAGCTTGATTGTTGCTGTCAGAGCTGGTGTTGGTGTTTTTTTGCTTTTCTGTATTGTTTGTTGGCTTGTACAGCTTGCCCCCCAAAGGTTTGAAGTGAATACTGTTTCACTTTGCCTGTTGTTTTCCCAGGTTCGAGGTAGAGCGGGACTCCTTTGCCTTTCTTGTATTGATGCATTGCATACATGTTTACTGTTTACTGTATATATCTGTTTCTTTTGCTGTTTATCCCCTAGGATCTCTATTTCTCTCTGTGCAAGAGAGAAATATGACAGACATTAGGATGTTTATCCATGCAAGACAAATTTAGGGTAGTTTTGCTTCCCCTTTTAACCCCAGGTTTTTTTTAGAGCTTCTTTCTCTTCTATCTCAAAACAATTCAAAACACAGTAATAAGGATAATCGATGTCGTACGCTACGAGCCTTAAGCTATTTGAGAAAAGGTTGCTGGAGGGTCACTCTTCAGTAATCTAATTGCTTAATGTGTTACCCTTAGGGTGACATACGACGTAGTCACTCTCAAATCATAGTCTCTAGTGCGTCAGAGATTGCAAACACACTAAAAAAACACTTCTTTCGTAAAAGATTCAAAACAAACATCAAAGTGACATTTTTGTCCGCTTGGACTCCTAATCAGAAGAAAACCTTTTCAGAAGGATCTAAAAAACAGTCAGACAAATTTGTGTCTTCCGTAGCCCGAACTACGTTTGCTCTGATCTTTCATGCTGTATGAAAGTACGTAGGCATATGATGTTGTATCCTAGCGAGCAACCTTCCCCTCCTTTCCCGTAGGTAGGCGAACTACGTTGACTCTGATTTCTCGTTCCAGATGGGAATACGTAGGCATAAAGTGCGATACTTTGCCGAGTCATTTTCTTTTCTTTTTAACCCTTGACCCTTAGTGTAGATAGAATACAATCCGTACTAGAAAACAAGTGTGGATCCCGTCGAGTACGACGGACGTGAGGGGTGCTAATACCTTCCCCTTGCGTAATCGACTCTCGAATCCAGGAATTTGGTTGCGACGACCATTCCTTTCCCGTTTTGCGTTAGGTTTACTCTGGGTGTTTCCTTTCCCTCCTTTGGGATAAATAACGCACGGTGGCGACTCTTCTGTCATAGCCGGCGCCGATTTTCACAGGAGCGACATTGACCCCACCCAAACATGGCTCATTTCTTAAAAAACAAAAAAAAATGACTTAAAAAATGTATTTTGACCATTTTTAAAATTGGGTCATCCTTAGTCCAAATAAAAAAGTGTATAAATTTTTATTGGGCCAAAATCTGTAAAATCCAAAAACAACGGACTTAATAATCCGAACCCGAATACAACCGAACCCGACAATCCGAAATTACAATCAAGTTAAAAACACATTATAATATACCACCCTATGGATTGGCCGGTTTGAGGTTTTGGGCCCAAACCCGAACCGACCCGATCCGCTGCCCAACCGTAACCACACCCATCCATCCATACAAGCAACCTACTCTTTTTCTCACTATGTACTTCCCATTGCTTTTGCTTTATCTAATGTCATAACGAAGCTGAAACTATAGTGGCAGCAGAGCATTATTGGGTATTTTTTTCCAACATGCCACACTATTGCCTTATAATTTCCAATATGTCATATAGATCAAGCATATATATTATTCTGCGATAATTTTAAACAAAAAAAAATTGTACACGTAAGCACTATCGCCCAATGAAAGGGCGCAACACTTTTAAAATGGCCTCTGCAGCCCATTGAAAGGGCGACACGGTTAAAGTTGTTGTTTTTTTATTTTTATTTTTCACAAAATATATATTGTTAATATATATATATATATATATATATATATATATATATATATATATATATATATATATATATATATATATATATATATATATATATATATATATATATATATATATATATATATATATATATATATATATATATATATATATATATATATATATATATATATATATATATATATATATATATATATATATATATATATATATATATATATATATATATATATATATATATATATATATATATATATATATATATATATATATATATATATATATATATATATATATATATATATATATATATATATATATATATATACACACATACATATATATATACATATATATATATATATACATTAATAATATTAATATATATATTATTATTAATATATTAATTAATAATATTAATATTAATATATTAATATTACCAATATTAATAATGTTAATATTAATAATGTTAAATTAATATAATTAATTAATATATAATAATATTAATACAATTTAAATATTAATATTCATACAATTTTAATATTAATTTATATTAATTAATATTATTAATATTAATATATGTTGATAAAAATAATTAATATTATTAGTAAGAGATAATTATGCTAATATAATTATTAATAGTATATTAACAATTTATTTTATTATTAATATATTTATAATTAAAATTAATATTTAATGTAATTAACAATAAATAAACTAGTATTTTTTTTTTATTTTTGTACAATGTCAGCACCCGGGTGGAATCTTTTAATATTTCAATGTTTTTGTACAGTGCCGACACGCCGACACCTGCATAGGGCGCATCCTTTTTAGTATTATATTATTTGTGTACAGTGTCGACACCTGAATGAGCGGAACCTTTTAATATTTAAATGTTTTTGTACAGTACTGACACCTGAATGGACGGAACCTTTTAATATTTTAATTTTTTTGTACAATACCGACACTGATATAAATAAAGGTGTGGTGTGACATATTTTTCACATCTGTTTTGAAGATGTATCTTCGCCGTTGGGTAAAAGTGATTTTTTCGAGAGAAAAATCGACTATGGATATGCTTTTCTAGAACATATGTAGTTTAGAGCAACTACATAGGGAATTGAAGCGTTGGTTAGAAGGAGACATACCAGAAGGGGAAAAATCAGAAGTATTGAGAGGTATGATGCCCGACGTGGGTGGGTGCGAGTCAAGAATGATAAGGAAGCTAGGGAAATGATGTTTGGGCAAAATGAGATCAGACTGCTAATTGTAATCAGTTAGAGAAATTGTACCAAATGTTAGGTTAAATGTTGCTTTTTAGTATTTTTATGTATGTTGATTTATGTATGTTTTGTATCATTTAATGAAACATAAAGTTGTGTGGTTTTTTCTAGAAGTTAGATATTAATCTGAAAATAATACATAAAAATTAATGAAAACACTAATGATTACTTGTTCCCATATTGGGTCACCGGGTTCGATTGTGGACCGTTTGACGACACTTGGAACATTTTCTCTCAAGCTTATCAAAGTTATTCATTTCCGTTCTAATATGTGTACTCACTGGACGACCTTTCTTGTTTCTCCGCATTCTTGGGTTATGGAAAATTTGATCTCCTTCATAAAAGGTCCAATGTTCATTGTAAGGCAGCACTGAAAATCTTGTGATGTAAATCCTAAAAAGGTTTGTAACCCTATAAACGTCAGACAAAAGAGCGTAAGCGCTGTGACACATATTCAAACATGTAGAGATAACATGTGAGCAAGGGACACGATATGCTTGAAACTTTTCGCAGTCAAACTACCCATTTAAGAGGTTGACCTTATAATGTCCCATAGGCTTCCTCTCACCATGGTCCATGGTCTCCTTCACACTAAAAACATTGTTAGTGTAGTCAAAAATTCTGACTTGATGTGTGCTGGATTTTGTTGTTTCTTCTTTCATCACCTTGAGGCAGTTGTCTATAAATGTTTGGCCATAATTCAACACAGCACATCAATTTGCACCTCTTTCAGCAAATAAAAATCGCAGTCTATAATATGTTGCACTTACTAATGCTGTAATGGGCAAATTACATGTGCCTTTAAAGACAACATTCAATGACTCAACAAGGTTGGTAGTCATGAGACCCCAACGTCGACCCCTGTCAAATGCCCCCGTTCTTTTTTCGGCTGGAATATTGTCAACCCACCTCAAATCATCAACATTTGCCATGCTAATCACAAACCGATAGTAATGAAATGTTGGTTGGTTTAAAGCATACCCTAAATAAATAAATAATTAAAATATCAACAATGGACAAAAATATAATATATGTTACTGACAAAACTTAATGAATGTTATCAAATATAGTTACCCATGTTAATTATTTTTTCCGTAGGTTCTTATCCTCGATTTCTCTCATAAATGTTTGCGCAATGTGTCAAATACAATAAACATGCATCCATGGGGGATTATGTCAACCATTTTCCGCATTGTTGTATGCACTTTCAATTGATGCATGTCGGTTTAAAATCAAACATAGTTTTGTTTGTGGTGCAACATGCCTCCTTAAGTTTCCCAGAAAAAACCCCCAACCTTCAGCTGTTTCACCTTCCACAACGGCAAAAGCAATAGGGAAAATATTGTTTTTGCCATCTTGTGCCACCGCCATAATCAGTGTGCACTTGCACTTACCGTATAACCAGGTTCCATCAATTTGAAGTATAGGTTTGCAATATGCAAAACCTCTGATGCATGGTTGGAATGCCCAGAATAGCCGGTGGAAGATGTGTTTCCTTCAGCAAGTGTTCAGTCATCTGTATATATGGGTAGTGTTTCTATTTCCACGCAGTGTTTCATGTGATATTGCTTAATGACAAGCACACAGACATCTTTATTTTTAAATTGGTTACCGACTTCTATGTCACCCTCCATTGGAATATGAGGATTTTGTGGCCATTCAAATGATGTTCCTTCTACATTTACGACAGGGTTGTCATATGCACCGGTGGGTAGAATACATTCCCAATTGGAATGTGTTGTTCATCTTTGTTGACTTCGTTGACATTGATTCCTTCCTCAAACAAAGTAGTATATATATCATCAACCTATGCCTCATTTTCTTCTTCGTCGTTTTCTTTTTCAACATCTTCGCTGCCTTTCTTCTTCAACAAAGTAGTATAATGTTATATACTTTTTTTATAGGTTGAAAAAAATTTCAAACCACGCTCACATAAGTACATAGAGCCTGATGAAATTATCAAACCATATTTGGTTCAAGCGGGTTTCGGTCACGTCATCAACATAACTTCATATGGAATTGGTTGAAAATTTCTTCTTGCCTTGTGCGAAAGATGGAGACCAGAAACCCACACATTTCACTTCCCTACAGGTGAATGCACGGTGAACTTGGAGGATGTCAATATGTTGTTAGGTCTGCGTGTGGATGGGTTAGCAGTTGTTGGTGACACAAATGTTAAGTACGATTTAGTGGAAGAACTATTGGGGGTGTCGTTGGAACGAGGTGAAGGTGAGAAAAACACTTAGAAGGGGGGGGGGGGGGGGGTTGAATAAGAGTTTTAAGAGATATGGCAATAAAAACAACTCAAGATTTTTATCCTGGTTCGTTGAACTCAACTACTCCAGTCCACCTTATCAAAGATGATTTGCCTTTTTCCACAAGGACTTAATCCACTATTAATCAACTGATTACAATAGTAAGCACTAAGAACAATTGTCTTAGTCTTCTCAAGAACTACTGACCACACCTTGGTCTTCTTAAGGAACTTCTTACAAATTAATGTAAACTAACAAGTGTTTGAATGCTTCTAATAAGCTGTATCACAACTGTGATATTTACACTTAAGATTAAGTACAACAAAAACTATACAGTTTTATGAAAGATCAAATGAGTAAGATCTTTGTGAGTTTTTCACTTTGATGAATCAAGCGTGTATTTCTTTCTGAGTGAACTAGCAATAAACAAGTGATGAGCAGGAAATTAGCAGCTTCAAAATGTTGTAGAAGTTCTCCTTTTATAGCTTTTTCAAATGCTTTGAGTGATGTGCAGCTGAATATAATATTAGATTATAAGACTTTTCATTACCATAAAGTATCGGCAGAGATATGCTTTCTGCAAGAAAGGTATGGTTGTAGAAGCCTTGGGATTTGCACCACGTCACTTCTTTGGACAAAATAGTCGTTGGTTACTTTGGAAGTAGCACCACGTCCAATCAAGTTTACAACTTCTTCAACAAGCTTCCTTTAGGATGAAGTCTTCATAATCTGCACTTTAGAACTTGTAGCAAGCTTAAAGGTATGAAATACTTTAAGATGATTAGAGCTAAAATGATTGATATGTTTAGAGCCTTGATAGATAATCAGATCTTAATATATCAGAGTCTCAATCTTGATCAGAGTCTTCATCAGAGTATGCAGCAATATGTGCTTTGAGCGTGAATATTAATGATAAGAGTCTGATTATCAAAGCCTCTGATCTTGCAGTGAAAAGAACTTCAGAGTCTGATTAGATCAAAGCTTTCAACTTTTGTACACTTCTTTCATTAACCCTTCAGATCATTCTGTAGCTTCTGCTTCAGATCCTTCTGGCAGCGCTTCAGAATCTTCTGATAGTCTTGCATCTGATGCTTCAGAGCCTTGCATAGTTTCTTGTACTTATGTATTTTGCTTCTTTAAGAGTTTTCAATTTTATACCTGAAACAATAATACTTTGAACAAATTTTAGAGTGTATATTTTCTTACTACAAAATTCCATAAAAGTTATCATCAAAACATAGAGATATAAGAAACACCAATCTGTGTTCTAACACGAGGTGATAGGAAGGGGCAAAGCCTTAAAATTACATTGCTAATAAGAATTTATGGTGCTTTGATATTGAACGCGGAGTCTCCCGAGGAACTCAAAATTTATAAAACTAGAATCAATATTTTATTGCTTTTTGCATGCTTTTTATTTCCTGATACTAATGGTAATACTATCCATCTTCAATTTTTACCATTATTAGAAGATTTAAGTCAAATAAGTAGATATAGTTGGGGCGCTGCTACCTTAGCGCATCTATAAAGAAATTTGTGTAGATGCGCAAGGAAAAATGTGCATAATTTTGCTGGTTGTGGCGTTTTGATTCAAACTTCGGTATGGTCCAGAATGCCCAGACTGGCACCAATAAACCCCAATCCATATCACTTTCCATATGCAATCAAGTAAGTATACAAATTTTATGTAATAATACTTTTCATCTGTAATTTTTAGTAATTATTTATTTCATAGGTGGCCTCTAGCGCCCATTGAAAGGGCGACACAATTTAAGTTGTTGTTGTTTTATTTTTCTTTTTCACGAAATATATATATATATATATATATATATATATATATATATATATATATATATATATATATATATATATATATATATATATATATATATATATATATATATATATATATATATATATATATATATATATATATATATATATATATATATATATATATATATATATATATATATATATATATATATATATATATATATATATATATATATATATATATATATATATTAATAATATTAATACAATTTAAATATTAATATTAACTTATATTAATTAATATTATTAATATTTATATATGTTGATAAAAATAATTAATATTATTTTGTAAGAGATAGTTATGCTAATATAATTATTAATAGTATATTAACAATTAATTTTATTATTAATATGTTTATAATTAAAATTATTATTTAATGTAATTAACAATAAATAAACGATTTTTTTTTGTACAAGGCCGGCACCTGAATGGGCAGAACCTTTTAATATTTTAATGTTTTTGTACAGTGGCGACATCTGCATAAGGCGGAACCTTTTTAGTATTTTATCATTTTTTGTACATTGTTGGCACCTGAATGGGCGGAACCTTTTAATATTTAAATGTTTTTGTACAGTACTGACACCTGAATGAGCGGAACCTTTTAATATTTTAATGTTTTTGTACAGTGTCGGCACCTGAATGGGCGGAACCTTTAAATATTTTAATGTTTTTGTATCTTCGCTTTGAAAATGATGTTTGGGAAAAATGAGATCAGACTGCTAATTGTAATCAGTTAGAGAAATTGTATCAAATGTTATGTTAAATGTTGCTTTTTAGTATTTTTATGTATGTTGATTTATGTATGTGTTGTGTTATTTAATGAAATGTAAAGTTGTGTGGTTTTTGCTAGAAGTTAGATATTAATTTGAAAATAATACATGATAGTTAATGAAAACACTAACGATTACTTGTTCCTACATTGGGACACCGGGTTCGATTGTGACCCGAATGACAACACATTTAACATTTTCTCTCATGCTTATCAAAGTTATCCATTTCCTTTCTAATACATGTACTAACTGGGTGACCTTTCTTGTTCCTCCGTATTCTTGGGTTATGGAAAATTTGATCTCCTTCATAAACGGGCCAATATTCATCGTAAGGCAGCACATGAAAGCTTGTATTGTAAACCCCAAACAAGTTTGTAACCCTATAAACGTCGGACAAAATACCGTAAGCGTCGTGGTGCACATTCGAACATGTAGAGATAACATATGAGCAAGGGACACGATATGCTTGAAACTTTTCGCTGTCACACCACCTGTTTAAGAGGTTGACCTTATAATGTTCCATAGGCTTCCCCTCACCATGGTTCATTTTATCCTTCACACTGAAAACATTGTTAGTGTAGTCAAAAATTCTAACTTGATGTGTGCTAGATTTTGTTGTTTCTTCTTTCATCACCTTGAGGCAGTTGTCTGTAAATGTTTGGCAAGAATTCAACACAGCACTCCACTTTGCACCCCTTACAGCAAATAAAGATCTCAGTCTATAATATGTTGCACTTACCAATGTTATAATGAGCAATTACTTGTGCCTTTATCTCTTATGTCTCATTTTCTTGCATGTTGTGTCATCAAATTAGTGTCATACAAGTCAAATATCATTGGTGTATTATATGTTGCATCGAGAAGTGTCAAAAACATCAAATTAGGCATTTTTGCAAAATACAGGTCTCTGAGTCAACCATTCGTCTGCTCCGGTCGACTCATAGAAGGTGTCTCTAAATTGCATTTTCCACGGGTTGGCCCACGTCGACCTATCGGTCAACCCATACTGTTTGTTTTTGCATAGTTTTGCTTTCACATGCTAGCTCTGGCCGACCGCTGCCTTTTGCATGGGTTGACCATTCGTTGTTTGCTGCATAAATTTGGTATGTCCATTACTTTTGAAAAGTGGTTGTGTCAGTTATTTTTGGCATGATATAAATAGAAAGTTGCTCATTTCATTTCAAAAAAAAATTGAATCAATTGAAAAACAAGAAAA